GACGCTCTTTGCAGTGTTTTCATTGGTGAAGGATTTCTTTGGGCATTTGTTCTGTCTAATTGCAATGCATTAGTAACTGTTCTGTCCCATCTGATACCAATTGCCACTTGTTTTGCAAAATTCTTTACTTTCCATTTTGAACTTTGATTGACAGACTAAAGCAAGCACTAAAAGCAGGGTTCAGGCATCTTGTGTTTGAGGACAACTATGATACTGGCACGGGAGACCACTATTCTTTTAGGCAGATGTGTGATCAATTTTACATAAGAGGTGTGTTTCATTTCAGCTTCTTTTTATCTTTTTACATATGTTCAGACCTAATTGGACATTTAAGTTCTTTTGCATTTGAATATTGCTGTTTAATTTGAATTTCTCTGGAAGTCTTTTTATTTTTGTTTCTTTTATTGAAATGCCAAGTATTTCAAAACTAGCACTAAGAAAGAGCTGCAATTACATCCAAAAGGAGAAAAATAAAAGATCGATACCCCAGCAAAAAACTAGACTTTACAAATGATTCTATGAACTGCATTAGGGGTTCGGCATCATCCATCCACTCTAACCTACTCCAAAAAGAAATCAAAAGTATACATTCTGATTAGATCTTCAGTATAGAGCTGTTGTTTCCTTCGAAACATCTCTATTCATTTCCTTCCACATGCACCACCAATTACAAGCAGAGAATTGGATAATGTCACTTTCTACTGTGATGGATGAACTTAATGTTTCTTAATATGCTGTGAAATTGTAAGTTTCCCTCCTTTTTGATTTATCAAGACTCGTTGTGGTTATTGGAAGTTGTAGTGCTACTCGAAGTATATATATGCATAATTAGTTGTTCTATTTGATTACCAGGTGGGGGCCATAGCTGCTTTAAGGACAGTGATGAAGCTAGGATAAGATCAAGAAGGAAGAAATTTTGGGAGAAGGCTGTTGATATTGAAGAACTATGTGGTCCTGGTGAAGCTTGGTGGGGTGTGAGAGGACAGATGCGCGATGATTTTAACCACAGCAATAAAGCTATTGCTTATGCAGAGCATTTTCAAAACAGCAGGTTTGTAGAATCAGTGTTAGATGTTTACTGGGAGCTCCCTCCTGTGGCTGGTCCTTCACTTACTCATCAGACGAGATACGATCCAGCTCGTGCACAAAGTCCTATTGTTGAAGATGGCAGATATGGATTGTTTCAGAGGCTTGGCTTATCTAGACTTGAGATTTCTGTATTCAATGGTTACACTCAAATGGTCTATCTTCAGGTTTCACGAGAACCTTAATCGGTTCTAGATTTGGTTAAAAATGAGATTTTTGTTGCCACTGGATGTAGGTTGTAGTTTTGTTCGTTACTTGTATCTCTCCTTTTCTCTTTATTTTCTTCTGTTCTTTAGGATGTCTTTCTTGAGAGCCAAGTGTCTGTCACGTTCACGGTACTGAAATTTGCTTACGCTCTGGTCGTTATAAGTACTACAGTAAATTGGTGAAGTCATAGTAGTCAAATGGCTTCAAAATGGATCCTCTGTATGCAGCACGGGATATATGCTAAAATGGCTGATGTTCGAAGGCTCTTCCCTTGTCCCTATTACTCTTAATATGGCAAGAAAGAATTATCAAAAAAGATGCATCAAGTAATAGGTCTCTTGTATTTTTTTTTTTTTTGCCTAATCACTTCTATTAATCTTCATCAGAAACAGTGCTGGTTTCCTTGACTTGTATCCTTATTTGTACATCTGCTTAACAGTGCCAAAAACGCCCCCACTACCAACATTGTTAACCATAACCAGTGGCAAGCATGAGTGCACAACCGATGCAGTGCAAATGGGTCTGTAATTCCTATTTTAGTGGTTAAGATTAGAACAATTTGTTGGAGAGTTTGATTGATGAAGAATGAAAATAATGGTCAAAATCGGGGGAGGGGGTATTTTGACGGTTGAGATTGAAGGAAGTATAGAAACTCAATCCATACATAATAAACAAGACACCTAGGACCATAACCAATTCAAACTTCAGCAGGGTAACAGAAGTAAGCACATGATATCATTTTCATTGGGGGAGGATCTGGTAAGGAGATGGAGGATCAAGGCGCGGAGGGTGCCAACTTCATGGTCATAGAAGCTACATATACACATTGAAGGTGCAAGCCGAACAACTAATATGAGCCAAGAACGTCACTCTCAGCTTCTCTCGCTGTTGTTTTGATTGGGACAGCCTTCAGGAAAAACCGAAAAATTGTATAGTAACAATATTAATTCATAGAAAACTGAAGAGTTCAGGTTGGGTTGCCATTTCTCACCATATTATTACAACATACTAGTACAGTTAACTTGACCAGCATCACAAAAAGCGTCGATATGTCCGAGTGGTTAAGGAGACAGACTCGAAATCTGTTGGGCTTTGCCTGCGCAGGTTCAAATCCTGCTGTCGACGGTTTTTCTTTCCTTTTCTCACCAGCTTCTTTTCTGTACTGTGCGTCAGTGCCTTAAATTTGACACGTATGCATGCATACTAACTAGTAATGGTCTTTTTTACACTGCATCATACTTCGTAAACTCACACTTGACATAGAATAAATATAATTTTACCACTATGAAGGATTTTGGATGACAATTAAATAACTTTCAAACATTTAACGAATTGAAAATAACTATGGTATTGTATAGGGTCAAATTTGACCCTCAGCATCTCTACGCCAGTGGGTACGCTCAGTGAGTGTACGCCGACTGACGTAGCGGGTACGACTCGGACGTGAGGACAAAAGCAACAGCGTTTAGGACTCAGTGTCTTCACTAGGAAGACGTTACCTGTCTTTGTAACTTTTTGATTATTTCGAGGAAGGTCTCTTATTATATAAAGGAGACCTTCCCATTATAAATGGGATCTGGAGATAATACAACTCTCTCATTTTTCTGGCTTTCTCTCTCTATCTCAATCTCAAACGAACATATTCTCTTGAGTTCATATTATCACTTTGCAATACTAGATCTACAACAATAACATCATCTTTACATCTCTAGGTTTATTATATTTGATTACGATTTACCCTTTTCTTATTTTTGATTGTTTTGTAGCTTACAAAGTATATTGTTAACTTTTGAGTCAAACAGGTATTATCTACCAATATAAGATTCAAGTGCATACTTGTGTATTTTGCACAAATTCAAACAGTGTAATACCAGTTGATGTAGATTCTAGAAAGAGAAACTTTCTAGTAACGTAGTCCACTAATCCTTATAGTGACATCAAATAAAGATAAAGGCAGTCTGTTGGAATCATCTACTTAAAGGTCTTCCTTTTAGCTTTTGACCCCAAAAAGTGAAAAAGGAAACCAATTCCAAAGGGTTTGGAACTCCATACCAAAGTTATCAACGTGCTTGGAAGCTTAAGCCTTAAGACTAACTACATTTTTGTTGGTTTAATTCAAAGTAATGTCGCTTTTAGATTCTCCGGTTGGGTTCCAAACTCAATTATGGAAACTAAACACCAGGGTTGTGCTCGTTGCGGGACTTAACCCAATACCTTATGGCACGAGCTGACGACAGTCATGCACCATCTGTGTCCGCGTTCTCGAAGGCACCCCTCTATTTTAAGAGGATTCGCGACATGTCAAGCCCTAATAAGGTTCTTCACTTTTCATCGAATTAAACCACATGCTCCACCGTGTGCAGCCGTCAATTCCTTTGAGTTTCATTCTTGCGAATTCCAAAAACAAAACCAAAAACACAAAGTTATATCCTCAATTGTTTTCGAAAATCAATTCCAAAAACCAAAATATACGTAGTTAGCTTGCTTTAATGAAGTCGTGGTATGTCTTTAGTACAAGTAGATAGAAAATCAAAGAAGATGTGGATTATAGTACTGTAATAAATTATTCGTCACCGAACTTAAAGAACGTAAACAAGATTTTTGAATCTTGTGATTTTAAATTAGAAGTATGAATAACTTATTCAAATATTCGAATATTGTGATTTTAAATATGGCATAATATTTTTATAAAAAATATTTTGAGAATAAAATGAAAATATTACAATTAAAAATTACTACATTTAAGATATGGCATTTCTTTAAAATATAATACACATAAATTGAAAGAGAGACACGACTTCAATTAGGAGTGTTCATGGTTCGGTTTGGGTGGATTTTCTCAAAAAAGAAATCAAACCAATTAAGTCGACTATTCAAATATTAAAATCAAACCAAACCAATTAACTCGATTTTATATAGGTTCGATCGGTTTATGTCGATTTTTGGTTATTTGATTTTTTTCCCGATTTTATCTCTTAAATTGAGACATTTGCCAAGCACATATTCCACCGACTATATTCTAACACAACACTATCAAACCAATTATTCTTTAAGAAAATTTACCATTTACCAAGATAAATTGATGATATATAATTGAATTAAAGAGTGATGAGTAATTTAAGAACTCAATTAAAGACAAGTTATTTTTAACATGAAATAGATTCTTGGACTTAGCAAAATAAAACTACCATCAAACTAGAATGTAAAGGCAAAGAACTTGATTATTATAATAATAAAGAACTAGGCTACTAACTAAGAACGCAAACGATTAAATATTAACCATAAGATTTTAAAAACTCAATATATAAATATACATATACTAAATTTTAAATATGTATTTTTATAAGTGGTTTGGTTCGATTTTTTCGATCATCTTTTACTTAAAACTAAATTTGATTTGGTCGACTTTTAAAACTCAAAATCAAATCAAAATATTATGAGTTCTTATGTCGGTTTGATTCGATTTTCGATTTGGCTGAGATTTTTGGTTCTATGAACACCCGTAACTCCAATAATCCATATGCGGTTGGCTTTAATTGTTCACTTCCCCTAAGAAAACTAGTGGTGGGCACTATGACGAGACTTCCAACAAATCTTGAAGTGCGAGCTAAGCTTCCATGACTCATCATTTTTTAGAGACGAAATTACCCCTCACAAATATCCCTAACCGCTCATATTATTTATGTTTTCTAAATAAACAAAGACGTCAACTTTTTATTCTTTCTAATAAAGACGTTAACTGTAATTTCTCAAATTGACTGCGTGGTCTGAGAGTGAAGGACTAATGTCAGTACCAAACTGAATAGGTCGCTCGCCGGAATCCGGGAAGCAGCCGCCGGCGACGATTACCAATTTCCTCATCGCATATCTCTCTATAGTTATAATTCATCTGAATAACCTCTCGCAGTATTATCACAGTCGATATATGGATAGGCAAAACCTAGCTTCATCGTCCTCTCCCGATAATGGTGCCACCATCAATCATCCCCCACAACGAGATGCTTGGGTCAATACCTACCGGAATTCAATTCCTCAATGGCACTCTCTTGCTACCTCACAGCAGGTACTGACTTAAACTTGTGTATCAGCTCCGGGAAATTTTCCGTTTGCCTCCGCACCTCTGTTTCATTTTATGTCCAGATGTTCTTTTGCTACAGTAATTGTTCACAAAATATAATCTTTCTTATTGGACTTAATCCACAAAAGTATTATAAGTTGTTTCAGTTTTTATGACAATAGGATGTGCGTTTGACTCTCTATTGGATGAAAACAGTTATGGAAAAATTGGTGGAGCTTAGAATATTCCTCAAAAAATGTTGTGATTCTGACTTTTGTACATTGTATTTTTCGTTTGCTGGTTTGAAATTAGAAAATTGAATTTAGATCCCCTAGCCAGTCAGGAATTAGCTTAAATTTGCTTCAGGTTATAGGCTACCTGGAATGATATTGTTGGAAGTATTATAGAGAGAGGATCTTTTATTGTGGACTCTTCATTGTTATAAATTATGATGGCTAGAAATACGAAAAATCCATCTTAAGATAAAGATTAGTCATTTTCTAGGAACCTTTGATGGTTTTTAGTGTGTTTTTCTCCTTTGAATTTTACTTGTTTCTCCATTGTAACACACAAAAACTGTTCCCATTCCTTTTCCGTTGTAAATTGTTTAAAAGCCAAATCTTTTTTCTGTCGGGCTCAGAGAAGGTTGAAGACAGAGTTAGGCATTTGAGGTTTTATTTGCGGAGTTTTTTTTTTGCTCCAAACTGCTGAAATTTCTTGTTAATGACTTCTTTTGGCAGTCAGTGATCCCAATTTCAATATCCAGAGTTAATCAGGTAGATGCTGGCAGACTGGACATTGAAATGTCAGCCATGCTAAAAGAGCAGTTGGTTAAAGTCTTCTCTTTGATGAAGGTACCCATCGTGCAACTTTTTTATTTTATCATCGAAATCATCAAGTCTTCATGATTACCTTATCGGTCAGGTTTGATATGTTTTTTTTTTGGGGATTAGCCAGGAATGTTATTTCAATATGAGCCAGAACTTGAAGCTTTCCTTGAGTTTCTAATCTGGCGATTTTCTATCTGGGTTGATAAGCCTACTCCTGGTAATGCTCTCATGAATCTGAGATATAGAGATGAACGTGCAAGTGAGATTAGAGGAAAAGGTTAGAAAATCATCTTCACTTTATCTTGTTCCTCGTTTTTCAAGAAGTAGCTCATACCAACCTTTTCCGTATCTCAGTAATGTTGGACATTTATTCTTATAAAATTGTCATGTCCTGTTGCAAGCTATGGATATTTGTGGTTGTTTTGTACTTCAGGGATGTGAAAAATACTAGCTTGGAACTTTGGATATTTTAAGCTATGTTGCTCGGACTCTTCAAAAATACCAGTGGGTGCGTGTTGGATCCTCCAAAAGTAGTGAATTTTTGGAGGATTCGACGCGGGTGCGGCAACATTTTTGGATAGTCCGAGCAACATAGTTTTTAATTAGTCATGTTTAGCTTTGAGGCATTGGCTTCATTTTTTCTGAAACTAAGTCGGTTGTACGTTATGCTCGTTCTCCTTCTCCTTTCTTTATTAAGCCATTTTTTGTGCAAATAATGGTACTCCATATTGACATATTCTTTATTTATCTTCCTTCATCCTCCCAAGACATTGCTTTTCTTACAGAAGTCGGCTACTAATCTCGAAATTACTGTATAATAATTCTTTTATCTTCTTAAGACTCACTTATAGGATATGGTGGTGGTATTTGGAAAATGAATGGTTCTTTTGGATTTTCTGGAGAGGACCTCTGACTCTGAGTGAGATGATCCTCTTTGTCTTGCTCTGTTTTATTACTAACAGATTACCTGAGTTACTTGAGCCTCGCAAAGTGTTAAATTCTGTAGTTTGGTAAGTCTAAATTGGCATGTGCATAAAACATCAAATTGTGATGGAGGGGCCAGTGGGATTGACTTGAAATATCTCTTTGGTCTTAGTTTGTGCTTGAAGTGCAGAGGTTGACAGCTTGATGTAATTGCAGTTCTTGTTTCTTGCCTCACCGCTATAATTTCAGTTGTAGTTTTATAGCTTGACAAGCCTAAATTAGCAAGTGTATAACATCAATCTGTGATGGAGGGAATCTTGGAAATCTCGTTGGTCTTACTTTGTGTTTGAAGTGGCGATGTTGACTACTTGATGCAACTGCATTTCTTGTTTCTTGCATCGACTGCTATAATTTCAGTTGTAGTTCTTTTTCCTTTTCCATGCTTGTTTCAGTGCGAACTGGATTAGAGGGACCCGGACTTACTGCTGCTCAAAAGATATGGTACTGCGTTGCAACAGTCGGTGGTCAATATATATGGGCCCGTCTACAATCGTTTTCTGCTTTTCGGAGATGGGGCGACTCTGAGCAGGTACTGCTCGCTCTACCTCACATGACACATATTCTACTTGTTTGTTTAACATACCAAGTTTTAATGGTGAGAAATCTGTGATCACTAAGAAAACTCCTCCTTCTAATAGATACTACTTTCTTCAGAGTTGTTGACTCCATTTGTTAGAGATAATAAGTTACAAAGTAATCTAAAAATCTAACTTTGTATAACAATTTCTAGCCATGCACAGGAATTCCTTCTATTTTTATTTTATCTCGGCTTAAGCATATATGTTAAGAAGGAAAATTGAAAGGTTTTTTATGACTTTGAAACTCCAAAAGGTGCAGCTTCAAATTAGATCAGTAAAGACATGTATCACTGATCAACATTGATCATTGATATGAGTAGAATATTAGCAAGCATCCAAGGGTGCAGCCTTGTGGTCAATAATGTTTAAATGGACTATGACAAACCAGGGTTCAAATTGCAGCAAAGGGAAGAAAAATTCAGGTGATTTCTTCCTATAAGTCTAAGCCTTGATAGACAGAGTTAACTGGTGAATATGCTGGTGGGAGGTCCATGCAAGCTGGTCCGGACACCACCATTATTATAAAAAGAGAGTAGAATATTAACAGAAATGCTTCATGCGATCTTTCAGTTTGTGAAAATAAGAAGTAACTTTTCACTTAGACAAGAACAACGAGATTCTTGTAATACAACATGTCCAAACAAAACTTGGATTGTTATGGCATGGAATCTCCACAGCAGGCAATATTCTACATTTCGAAAAGAATACCAAATGAAAATGTTTTCAGTTTGTCTTAAATCTAATATTCACATGAATACTACTTTTCCTTGTTGATAAAAAAAAAAGAAGATGAATACTAATTTTTCCTTGAGCAGTTTAATACTTGAAGAACTTTTGAAAACATTTTTCTTGATTACTAGCAAAGATAAATGTCAATTTGAAATACTAGAGCAGAGCTAGTCTGAAATCCATATTCCAAATGTATTCTTTTCCTTTCTGTTTTAGTCCATCCAAATTTGTATTTTATTGAAAGGAAAATACTTGCATACACTATATGATACTTATGATATTAGAACGGTATCATGTACATTCAACACATACTGATATTTTATCTAATAGTTAGTTCTCTTTTCTCCTTAAACTGAATCTTTTTAGCTATCCTATTAGAATATGAGTTGAAATGACCTTATAAAAATTTGAAATTGATAAGGTCACATTTAGGGACTGCACGTTACTCTTTGAGGTACTGCGATTATTTAGATAAACAATCTATTGAGTGTCTGCGATTATTGAGATGTGAGATGAACAATGTATTGCTTAATATTAAATGGGGAATTATGTAAGACCACAAGATTAAGTTAGGTGGACAATTAGGTTCAATATAATGTCATAGACCTTTCATTTAAGGGAAGTTGACATAAACTAATTCAAGAGGATAATTGGAATATGGAGTTGAGAATCTTGAGATGAGGAAGCATTGAAAGTTCAATGTCACAAAAAAAGTAGAAGCTTATCTTAAGTTTGGAAGCCATGTGCATTTGAAAAGTAAAGTTTTTAAGTCCTATGTTGATATTGCTGTCCAGTCAAACAGTCTTTTGAACTAGGATGGAGAAGTATTAGTTAAACGAAGAATACTAACTTGTATATTACTGATTTTTAGAGTGTCAACATATAATTTGTTGGTAATTTTATGTTTGCTTCAGAGGTCTTTGGCACGTGGAGTATGGCTGTTAATGCAACGGATGGAGGGGATCTATAAAGCAGCGTCTTTTAGCAATTTACTTCTCTTTCTTTACACAGGAAGGTATATCTCTTACTGCAAATTTGCTTCTTATTTCTTTTCTAATGCACGACATGACCACCAAATAGAAAAAGAGAGGAAAATCTAGTTCGTAAAGTAGTGGCTGTAAGTAATACTGCTTGAATCTGTGCTATAGTACAACAGACAGATGCATGGGTAACAGAAGCACAGATTTGAGCTTGTATTGCTTTTTGATAAATTTTCAATAGGAAATACTAACTAAATTAGTGAAGTTCCCAAAAACTTGTGAAGAATGTTCTTAAACCAGTTATATATTTAGAGGATCAGTTAGAAACTTGCAAGTTCCTATTTTTTGAAACCAGTTATATATTAGAAACTCTTTGGAACCATCGTTATGTGAAATTCCACTTTTAGTAATGGAATGGGAAAACTTGCAACAAAAGCCCCATTTGTAATTTATATACAATGTAGATAGACTTCTATTCTTCTCAAAGCCAAATGGGCCTCTAGGTTTCATCATTCCCTTGATTTGATTGGTAACTGTAGTGAGCTATGGTCATTGTATCTGTCATCAATGTTGTACACGCATCTCCATCCAGACATACGGTGATTCCTAGTTTGGAGGACTGAGTGCCGCAGCTATTGAGGGAATCATGCGTCATGATTAATTTTGTAGCACATAAGATGGCTCGTACTGATTATTTTACAAGAATGTAAATGGGAGCCCAAATATGTATAGAGCATCGTTTAATCGTTGTGAATGTCCCCTGCATGTGATCTATCCGATAATTTGTCACATTACAACTTCATGCAGGTACAGGAATCTCATTGAGAGAGCTTTAAGAGCTAGACTTGTTTATGGGAGCCCAAATATGAACCGAGCTGTGAGCTTTGAGTACATGAATCGTCAGTTGGTGTGGAATGAATTCTCGGTAATTGTCCTTCCGTTGGCAGTTTCTTGCAGAATTCCTTTGCTCATTCAGGAAGTATAAAAAAGGACTCGCTGAGAAACTTCTAGATAGTTTGAATCAATAACAGTATAGAGTATTACACGTTCTTTAGTTGTTTTACATGCTGCCCGAGTGCTAACAAAATCATCTTTTAATCTCGCATATGCATGCCCTTTTTCCTTTTCGGTGGTGGGCTTTAAATTTTATTGTTTTGCAGTTCAACCTTCGGAGCTATTTGTTTCGGGCTTTGTCAATTTAGTTCTTCGGTACACAGTATGAATGGACTTAGATTTTGAGCAATGTTCTAATATGCAGGAACTGCTGCTCTTGCTTCTTCCCCTTCTCAATTCAGCATCTGTCAAGAGTTTCCTTCGCCCATTCTCAAAGGACAAATCTTCAGATTCTTCAGTAGATGAAACTTTATGCCCCATCTGCCAGGGAACCCCATCAGTTCCATTTCTAGCTATCCCTTGTCAGCATAGGTATATAAGTTACTTGCTTTCATTTATGCGATAAAATGGTAATGAAGTATTCCCATATAAGTTTGTATGCCTCTATAAAGAGCATGCTTTTACAGAACTTCGCCGAAGAATTAGCCTTATCAGAGAATAAGTTGGTTTCATGGAAATTGCAGCTAGACTAATCCTAGGTTAGTGTAGCCATTAATTATTAATTTTCTTTCCAGGGAAATATTACTTGGATCTCTGTGCTGAGTACAGTTCCAATATTACTGGTTGCACAGAACATGAGAGTTGAAACTACTATTACTTCAGGGTTGTATCCACAATAAGTTATCATTGCACTGCTCTTGTCACGTCATCTGCCCCTCAAAAATGATTTTGTCCAGTTTTTACAGAACCATGGCATTCATTTTATATTTGGGACTGTTAAAGCAAATGTTTATTTATTTATTTTTTTTAGGGGCGGGCAGGGAGGGACTGATGGGCGCATATTCATTAATATCCAAACTTTGTAACAATTAAATAGGAGCCGTTTTTTTTTAAATCGCATGATGATGCCATCTTTAATGGGTCTTTTGTCATGCATTAGGTTTCACAGCATTACCAGTCTTGTTCCTACCTCTTAGTCTACTATGCTTAAATGTGTTTCTGAAAGTTTTAGTTTTATTTATTTCAATCTTATAGGTACTGTTACTACTGTCTTCAAACAAGGTGCTCTGCAGCTCCATCATTTCGTTGCCCTAGATGTGGTGAACCAGTTGCTGCTATGCAACGGCATGGTGGTTTAGTCAGCAACATTCCTCAGAAACAATGATTGTTCTGCAAAATGATGTAAATGACAAAAAAGGGAAGCTCAGTTAAACTATAGATCAAAAGTGTCCTAAAAGACAACTTGACAATGGAACTAGCAACTAGGTATCTAGATTCCTTGATAAAGCAAGTTGTTCTGCTTTATTGAGTGCTTTAAATTTTTTATTAGTGTGGTTGTCCCTTTTCCTTTATTTACATCTCATTTATTCATTTAATTGAAAGATCTTCTCAAATGTTGGATCAATCTTCACGCAATTGAATCAATATTAATCGAATGACTCTACTAGGCTTTAGTTACGGTAACTTTTCAGGGGAAAAATAAGCACACTTTTCATATTCTTAAGGTTATCAAGTTGCAAATTACTGTAGCAAAGATAATAGTTTGAGTGGGTTAACATTTATAATGGCCAAGTGTTTTGCAGAGAAATACTGCTGTAAAGCTATCATAGTGTAGTAGTATTTGATTTCATTGGGATTCGTGGTGGGCTAGTCTCATTTGCATTTGCTGGTAAAATTTTATTGCACCGGTGTTTACTTTAATCCAAATTAATGGGGAGAAATTCAAAAATAGCTAGATTTACAAGTGGTCGTTTAAAAATAGCCCAGTAATAAAAATAATCGAAATTTAGCCATTTTTCATGTAAAGATAAATTTGAGCGAAAATACGGTTCAAAACCCGGAAAATACGCCAGTATATTATGTTAGAGTTCCAGCATAAGTATACTGGAACTCCAACATAAGTATACTGGAGTTTCAGGATAAGTATGCTGGAACTCCAGCATAATATGATGGAGTTCCAGCATAAGTACACTAGAACTCCAGCGTAATATACTGGAGTTCCATCAAAGTATACTGGTCCAGTATAATATGCTGGAAGTTCATACACAAGTGCTCGAATCTCCAGTATATTATGCTGGAACTTTCCGTGTGTTGGAGTTCCAGCATGATATGCTGGAAGTTCATACATAGGTGCACCGAACTCCAGTATATTATGCTGGACCGGTCTCTATTGCAGCAAAATAGTGGCTATTTTTTATTGACTTGGTAAACACTGGCTATTTTTGAATGACCAATCCGAAAACTGGCTAGACCGTGCTATTTTTACAAATTAATATATGCAAAATGTTTTAACATACACTCTTATTATTAAACTGTACTCCCTCCGTCTCATATTAATTAACAGTCGTGGTTACTAAAAATAGTTGTCTCAAATTATTTGTCATTTTAGAAGTTCAAGACAAAACTGATTAATTTTTTCTTTTTTTACCTTTAGTAATAATTGTTCTTGAAGATGGAGATAACATATAACTAGAACAAATATTTAATAAAGAGAGATTATATCTTAAGACATAAATAAGGGTAGAATAGTCCAATTCCTTTTCTAATTAGTATTTCTTAAGGGGCGTGTAAAAGAAAAACACGACACATAATATGAGACAGATGGAGTAATTATTTACTCCTTAATTTTTGAGTTAGTCATGGTAAATTAATATGATTTTGTGTAAACAACTACTCCAAATAAATCTTTACCCTCACTTGCTTGAATAAAAGTTGGGACTACGAATTCTGCAAAGAGGATTTACTAAATGCATCTCATTTCTAATAGTAATGCTTCTTTATTTTTGCCGGTCAAAAAAAGTGATCTTGTATTTCGGAGTCTGTTTACTATTCCCTTCGGCCCAAATTAAGTGATTTTTTGGTCTTTTTCTTGTGGTCCAAAATAAGTGATTTTTCCAGATTTCAAGAATGAATTAATTATTTTTTTTCCTACATTCTCCTTGAAAAAAATGGTGTTGGAATATGTGTTAGGAGTGTTTATGTGAGATAGTAAAGGTTAATATGGTCAATTTCATTGCTAATTAATGCTAAAAGGTGGATTTCTTAATTTGTGTGAAAACATCCAAAAAAATCACTTATTTTGAACCGGAGGGAGTATTGATTGTTACTATTTGTCCTCTGAGTGCTCAACTAAATAAGGTCCCTAGGTGTTTGGTTGAGAAAATGGATGATTTTATATAATTCCTTCCTTCCTGAATCTATTTATAAAGTTTAAGAGAGTAATAAAGACTTTTAAAATTGATGATTCTAAACAAGGCATAACATTTTGTGTATCTATAATTGTGGTGTTAAGCATGAAAGAATAAAAGTTACTCGCTAAGTGTAGAATTAAAAGTTTAAGTTTAATTATTTTCAGAAAGGATCATTCTTTTTGGAACGAAACAAATAAGAAATATATTCACATCAACTTGAACAAATGGAGTATTTCTTTTCTTCGAATCTTTTTTCTTTTCCTTTAGTTACCAATATAATGTCAAAATGACGATAAAGAGTCTGTTCCTTTTTCTTTTCTTTTTTTTTTTTAAAAAAAAATTTGGCAAATAAAAGTTATACAAGCAGTGTTTGCTCAATCGGTGCAGATACTGATCTTAACATGACATGATATTATCTGTTTTGGGCTAAGCTCATACTATTTTTTCCAAAAAGCTTTATACCATTAAAAGTATTTAACTTCTTATAAGTAAAATCTTTTTCCTTTCTACTTTTCTTTGTTTACACCCCTAACAAAGAACTTCAATTGTTTATGAAATTCCTGTTTGTTAAAGGCTTTACCTCCTGCTAAACCTATGTATTATAGTGTTACATCACTATTAATGTAAGATACTGTAATAATTATTAGCGTCCCTACAACTGATTAAGAATTATGCAATCTAAATTCTTTAAAGCTATCAAAACTTCAACTGTTTTGAATTGTTTTCAAAAGGCTGGGAAAGTCCTTCTCTGCAATAAAACTTAAGAAGTTAGATGCATTGTTGGGATCGAAATAATAAGACGGCATGTGAAGCAAACTAAATATTGGCGACAATAAATAAGAAGACAAAAATAAAATTATAGTAAAATAGAATATTACAATGGGATTTGATCAATTGAACTACATTCATTTACTAATATAAAGTTTTGTCGAGAAAAAAAATCTCTTCTAAATAAAACTAAACCAAAGATCCTCAATTTATAGATTTTCAAGACTTTCCTCCAAGAAAAGAATAAGTGGAGATTAATTAATTTCTTTTGGTAGTTTTTTTTTCCTTCCTTCAAGAAAGAAGGTTCTAATAAATTAATTAAGGGCAAAACCCTAACACTAACACATATGATTAAGCATTTAACTTAATTATATACCAATTGACATTACATTTTACACTATTACTGTAAACTAACTGCCGTAATTAAGTTGTCTGTTTAATTTTTTATTGTAGGTGTTTGTAGTAATCTTTTAAATGACTTTATAGTGCAACTAAAAATTCTTTTACACCGTCTGTGAAAAAAAGCAATACTCATTAATTAATAGAATATCATACACAGAAACTTATACTGCTACAGTAAAAAGAGCATGCTCCTGTTTTACATGATAAGATCTAAGAATGCAGTTCTATATCCAGTAGTAACATAAAAGAACAATCCCTTAGTAATCAGTGGCGGAGGTAGAGTGTTGGGACCGGTGATTCGGCCGAACCCAATAACTTTGATTCGAACTCTGTGTTTGTCATACAAAATGAATTGAATATGTATAAATGATTAAATTAGAACCCAGTAACTTTTAACGATTAGAATCCCGAACCCATAAGCTTAAAATCCTGGCTCCGCCTCTGCCTTAGTTACCACTCCAAGTCAATGTAAGTTTAAAAAAACTCAAAGAGCATTTGTTTTTGGGCCTGACCCACCCGCCTTTTTCTGCCTCCACTTTACAATAAAGCTATAAAGCAAGCAAAAATAAATAAATAAAAAGAAGGGATCAATAAGAGGAAAACATAATACAATCACAAAGCTTCTCAACCCCACAAGTAAGAAATACTACTAAGTAAATGTTACTCAGTTGACAATGATATATTGGTTTCTTCAACCTCTTATGAGTAAAGCAAATACAGCCTTGAAAGCCTTCAACAAAGCCTCGTTTTTTTGCACAAAAAAGGAAAAAATAAACAACTAGTGATTTGTACACTAGATCAAAAAGTAGTGAGAGAGAGAGAAAAACCAACTGAGAGGAAGATGAAGGATCGTATAGCTATTCATAACACGCAGAGAAAAGACAAAAAATAATCTTCGAGTTGAGTTGAGTTGAGGATCAGTCAATAATCATAAGCAGTAGCAAATGATGGCTGGAAACCCTACTAATTGGTGGAGCATGCTAATGAATGGAAATAATATGCATCAACAATCTCAGCATATTTCTTCTTCGTCTTCTTCTTCTTCTTCGCATTTTTATGGAGCTTCTAATTCTTCTTTAGCTGATAATTCAAACCAATATTTCCCACCTCGCTCATTAAGCCAACTACTTCTGTAAATACATATCTTTAATTTCTCTCTCAGTCTTTTCTTTGTCATGTTTACGTAGCTTGGTTCAATTCTTGTTTACCTTTATCATGTTTTAAAGGCTGATATTTTTTTGTTGTGTTTCCAAAATTAAAAAGCTAATAATTATCATTTGATCAATTTTTTTAAATTCTTCATGCTATGAGCAGAGGCGAATACAAGATCTAGAGACAACGACTCAACACGTTCAAAATGAGTACTTATAGTTTTATTATATGTACATGTATACATAGTTCAAGTAGCAAGAAATAAGTACAATTGAACACTCAAAATCCACCCTAAAGCAACCTTCTGTTAATTATAAGATTTTTATTTTTGAGTATTACCATGTTAGAGTATGACTAAGGTGATATTGTTTTCCTATTAATTATGCGTTTAATTAATTACTAATCCCAATTCAAATTGCAGGAGTGGATTTTCTGGTGATGAAGAAAAGTTTGGTATTAGTCCTTTTCATCAAGCAGGAAACTCAGAAGACCAAAATTTGAATTCAGTCCATATTCCATCAGCTTCTAATTTTAGGGTTAATCCTAATATTGATGATGTAAAGCCAGAGCTTGGCCAATTATACGACTATCATCATCATGTCCAAAATGAATTTCAAGCATCACTACAAGAAAAACTGGAATTATCAACGGATTTTACCAAACACGCCGCATACACGTGTCGACCTCTTCTTGCTAATTCTTGGTCTCAACATCAAGATATGCCATCACCAGCTAGTTCTTGTATTACAACAGGTTTATTAAACCATAATGTTTTGAACTTTTCCAGTAATAAAAACAACAAGGGGGAACTCAAGCATCAACATCCAGACAATTCATCTGAGGTAAGAAATTAAAAAGAAAAAGAAAAAGAAAGATAGGGTAAAAAGTTGATTTCTACATCTCATCTTTGTATATATATAAGTCAATAAGTTCATCATTAATATTTTAAAAAGTAGAAAGTGATATATATAAATGCCAAAATAAGTTCATGATTACCGTTACGAATTAATCATACAAAAAGAGAGATGTTAATTAGTTACTAATCCTAGCTAATATTCACTTAATTTTTTTTTTGGCTGATCATCATTAGCATTAAGTTTGAACTTACTTTAGTGGATAATATGTTTCTTTTTTCTTGACTTTATTTATGCCTTCATTAAAGTGTAACAGCACAAGCAGTGGTGGGATAAGTAAAAAGGCTAGGGTTCAGCACTCTTCAGCTCAACCTTCTCTAAAGGCAATTTTCTCTCCTTTAGACACTCGAGCAATAACAAGAAATTATATTTACTGAAAAATATATAGCAAATATATATTTACAGAATTTTGTTGTCTTATTTTAAAGCAGGTAAGAAAGGAGAAGCTAGGGGATAGAATAACAGCACTTCACCAACTTGTTTCTCCATTTGGAAAGGTAAAGTAATGAGACTATGAGAGTTTAACTTTTAATTTTATTACACTATTAAGTCACAACATAGATCCAAGATTTTAATATTATGGGTTTTGAATTTTGAAATAACAATTTCAAGTGCTTATAATAACTGATTTTAAATTTAATATTTGTTCATATTTAATGAAAAATTTAACACACAACGGGCTTCTAGCTACGCCCCTAACGATATTTACATACAATTGCTCATAAAAAGTGGTCGATAACCTAGAAAATAAGTTAGGTTATGTACTGCAATAGGTTAAATACATTGATAATTTAAAAGTTTTTTTTACGCTTTCAGTTAAATTTTACTCTTTCTGTATCTTAATATCTGCTGCTTAATTAACCTCCATCCCATGCTGGTGATAGTGTACACTGAAATGAAGGCCAGGAATAAACAAAGAATTAAGACTAGACTAATTTGAAGCAATTTAATTGCTATTAGTGTACGATAGTTTATAATGAAACCCATATTCGAGAAACACATCAAGATTCCCTTATGCTTTAATCTTACCCATAAAGCCCTGTCTTAAAGTTTTCAACACAAAAAGAAGTTGTGATAAAGAAAAAGAGAGAAAATTAAAGAATAATATGGCTTTGTGTGTGTTGCTGAGATAGACATGTCATGTTTCTCTTTTGCAGACTGATACAGCCTCCGTCTTGTCAGAAGCTATTGGCTACATCAGATTCCTTCAGGGTCAAATTCAGGTCTCTTTTTTCTTCCTTTTCCATCTTATTTTCAAATGCACATTTAACATATATTATACATTAGTACTAGTAATAGTTAGTATCAGCTGAATATATACGTTATACAGTTGTAGCAGGTTAGCGTTGCTTTATTATTTTCAGGTAACTAGTTCTACTTATTATTATAGACAGTTAGCCTTAATTATATTTAAGGGGTCGTTTGGTACAATGGTGGGATATCGCATTGGATTAGTTATCCCATCTTCTATATGGGATAACTAATCTCATCATTTTAGTGTAAAATTAAGTTATACCGGAATTAGCTGATACCCCAAACAAAACATGAATAAAAAATAATCTCAAACTTTATCTCGGGATTATTATCCTTATCCTATGTACCAAGTAACCAAACGACCATTAAGGGGTCATTTGGTATGAGGTATAAGAAGGTATAGTGCTGGTATAAAAATTTAATACCACCTTAATACTTCGTTTGGTTAGCAAACCAGGTATAAGTTATCCCAGGATTAAAATTAACATCGGATAACTTACACCTTATAGAGGGTGGGGTAATTAGCACCGGTATAACTTATACATTCTTCTTACAAATTATGCATTGTCATATTTAATACAACATACCAAATAATGGATAAAAAACAATCCCAGCATAACTAATCCCAGCATAACTTATACCAGTATAACTTATCCCGGCATAAGCCGTATTCAAACCAAACGACCCCTAAGTGACCTAATAGTGTTAATTATAACGAGCCATGCACTATAATTATCTTTAAGTGACGTGATAGTAGTTAGAATTAAACACAACAAGGGGAAAAAAAAAGGAGGGAAAGCAAATTATCCCATAGTAGAGTAGTTTCCCTATCAGAAGCTCTATGCTATTTTTGCTGTAATTTTGTTTTTACTTTTTGCTCTCTCGTGCACCAATGCAGGCATTAAGCTCTCCATACTTGGGCAATGCATCAGGAAGCATGGGTCACATTTCCCAACAATCAGTGAGTACCCATTTTATATATCAGCTGCCCTTTTCTTTTCACATTTTCCGATGCACGACCAAGATTCCGCAGTCTCACACATTCATATATACACGTGCCACTCACTAATCATATGTTATTACTCTCTCTGGCATACGATAAGTGACCATTTAGTTTTAGCACGTCCATTAAAGAAATACAAACTCCTAAAGAAAAAAAAAGCTTATTCACTAAACTAACCCTTGACACATTGGAATATGTGAATAAGGGAAAATTTTAGAAAAATAAAACTAATTTCTTCTTGATTATATAAATGGACACTTATTTTGGATCAAAATAGAAAAGTAAAATGATCACTTATTGTGGACCGGAGGGAGTAATGATTACTCCCTCCGGTTCACAATAAGTGTCCAATTTACTTTTAGCACGCCCATTAAGGAAATACTAAATTCTATACAAAAATACCTACTATATATATTGAAAAAGGACGTACGCATATATATATATATATATATATATATATATTAAAATTCTGCGTAGAGTTTAAGTTATATACATTGTCAATGTTAAAAAAAAATTAACACTAATAGGTCATCCAAAGGATCTCTAGGTAAGCCTCCGCAAAAAGTGAAATTTGTAACCTTAAAAATAAAGCAGTTTACGTGCTACAATAAGTAAAGTCACTTGAAAGTGCAAAAACTCTATCCTAACAGTATATATAACTTAATTCGTTCGTGCATGTGACATTACTGCCATTTGCTGGTATTTTAATTGATTAGCGAAAGAAATGTTGAATTTATTCTACTAATCACGATAGCCTTAATTAGCAATTATCCAACTTCCTTTATCCCGTACTTACAACTTACTAACTGCAAAAGAATGTTTATATATAGGATTCTCAACACAAAAGGAAGGATTTAGGGAGTAGAGGGTTGTGCTTGGTTCCTATTTCTTGCATGCAAAATGTAGGAAGCGATACAGGCGCCGATTACTGGGCTCCAGCTCTAGGTGGATCAGGATTTTGATGTAACGAGTATTTACTCTGATGATGGGATTTTCGTTGATACACTGACAGTGAAAAGATATTTTACACTGTTACTGCCGAGATAATGATGAAGCTCATGGAATATTGAATGATATATAACATCATCAGCAGTCATTTTCAGTATGAAAGTCAGAGCTGACTGTTGGTGATGCTATATATTTTGCATTCGAAATCGGGTGAAGGATTTAGTGATATTTTCCAATGCCAATATGGTCCTATTTTCTTGATTTTCATGAATAATCATACACTACAAGTAGTTCATATGTGAGTGTTGTATATGTAACTTGGAAATCAGTTTACATCCTTTGATCATTTTATCGATCTTTCATTTCAAGTATATATACGTTTATGTTTAAGTCAAAAGTTTGATTATTGGATGAGACTTGCCGGTGACATATAGTGTGAGATTGTGACTAAAGTTGAAGCTTGACTTTTTAGTTTTATCTCAGTAGTTAAGGCTAATTAACCAGTTTCAAAGTTGCACTATATATATATATATATATATATATATATATATATATATATATATATATATATATATATATATATATATATATGTTGCGGAAGCCGAATATATAGAGAGTGACTAAATCACAACTACTATATCTAAAGGTAGCTAATAAATAGTAAATGAGACAATAATAAAAAGAACACCAGAAATTAACGAGGTTCGGCAAAATTTGATTTCTGTCTAGTCCTCGGACACAATCAACTCAAACTTTATTTCACTCCAAAAATACAAGTGAAATACTACGAGAGAGAAAGAAGATTCAAATGCCTTAGGAGATAAGAAGACAAGTGAGAGATGTTTACAAATGAACAAAACCCTTGCTATTTATAGAAGGGAAATTGCCTTAATAATGTCATGCATGACATCATATTAAGTGTGATCATGCAATGTAAATGCATGAAAAATGCATCTACCAATTTCTTCCAAAAAAGTGGCTTCAAATGTTCACACTAGTTCACATTAATCTTGTCAAATTCAACAAATCTCCACCTTGGCAAGATTCTACTTTTTCAATTTTCTCTCGGTGATAAATTTTGATTGTGTCTTCAACTTCAATCTTCAAAGTTCAACAACGTTGATCAAGTTCAAACAATGTTGAAACTTGATCGCAGTCACTACTTTTGTTAGAATATCGACAGGGTTGTCTGTTGTCCGAATTTTTCTGCACCATGACTCCACCTTCTTCTATAATATCTCGTACAAAGTGATATCGAACATCAATGTGCTTCGTCCTTGCATGAAAAACTTGGTTCTTTGCTAATTGGATAGCACTCTGACTATCACAAAATAGTGTGATGTTTTCTTGACCAATACCAAGCTCTCTAAGCAACCCTAAAGCCAAATTACCTCCTTTACAGCTTCTGTAATTGCCATGTACTCCGCCTCAGTAGTAGACAAAGCAACCGTTGGCTGCAAAATAGACTTCCAACTAACTGGTGCATTTGCAAAAGTGAAAACATAACCAGTAGTTGATCTACGCTTGTCCAAATCACCAGCATAATCTGAGTCACAATATCCAACCAGATACTGACTATCTTCCTGCTCAAAAATTAATCCAACATCTACAGTATTACGAATATACCGTAGAATCCATTTCACAGCTTGCCAATGCTCCTTTCCTGGATCATGCATATACTGTTAGATCTAATTTTAATGATGAAAATAATATATTTGCTTTTTGTGTAGAAACTCTTGGATTGGCGAAATCAATTAGCAATGATAAAGGAACGTATGAATTGAGTTACAAGATTGAAGTAATATAGGCGCGGTTAAAGGAAGAAGAAATCAAGAGTGAAGATACTGACGGAATCAAGGGACGCGATTAAGGAAGAAGAAATCACTGAAGATACAGATGGGATCAATTATAGCTAAACTCAAGGAATCAGATAAATCAAGATCGCTGAATATTCAATCAAGTAGCTAAACTCAAGGAATCAGCTAAATCAAGATCTCGCTGAATATTCAATCAAGTGTCTAAATATAGAAGATCAAGATTCCAAGTTCAACAGAGCCGTTACAGAACAACTTTATTTTTGGAAAGAATCAATCTCTTTCCAAGGATCAAATCACTTGGGTTGGCAAATCTTTCCAGAATTCAAGCCTCTCTCTCAAAGTATTTAAACCTGTAATCACACCTTAGCTAGATATACTTTGATCGAACCAAACACCCTCTCTTTGTTCTACTGTAAACAAACATTGTAGCTCTCTATGACCTGCTGTGTAACAAGTTAGAGAAGAAAGAGAGAACAACACTGGTGAGGCATTGTATCAAAAGAGACGAGTGATATAGGAACTGAGCTATCACGTCTAGGGGTGTTAATGGTTCGGTTCGGCCGGTTATTCTATAATGTATAACCAAAATTAAACTTTTCAAAACCGTCCCAATCATGTCGGTTTCTCTTCGGTATCGGTACAGTTCGGTAAATATTCGGTAATTTTTTTTAAATGTAACGTAAAAATCACTACTAGAAGTAGAATGCAATAACGTACGTACTTTTATAAGACTTAGCAAAACTCTCTAGATATTTTTACAGTTTAAAAGGTGATAAATTAAGAAAATATAAAAGATGGCTAGAGTATAGATCCATCAACTATTCTACATCAGCGTAAAAGAAACTAAGAAAATACAAAAAATATAAATCACACGAGTGGAAAGATATTACCAAGTTGGGTCTCAAGAATAAAATCTATAAAAGATTAAATATTCAAAAAGATAAATCTAAATCAGACGAAAGGAAACATATTCAAGACATTGTAGTTTTCTACTCATAATCGCTACAATACCTTGTGTTTTGCTAGTGAATATGCTGGAAATAATTTAGTTTCAATAGGAGTAGCATAATAGATTTGGGAATTAGGATTTTAAGTTTAATTACTTGTTGGCTTGTAACTATTTCATAATTCCAAGGTCCCGGAAAATTTTTAATGCTTTATCATTTTTAAACTTAATATATAAATATATTTTTCACATTGTAAATTTATTCAGTACGGTTCGATATTTTTTTGGTTTATTTTTTTAAAATAAAAAACCTACCCTAATTAATTGGTTCGATTATATATTTATTAAAAATCTACGGTTTTATTAAAAGAAACCTAAAAATCGGTTCGGTACGGTACGGTTCGGTCGGTTTAGTCGGTTTTTAAATATCAATTGACACCCCTAATCACGTCATTTCCATTGTACTCGAAGAAACTCATTCACTAAAGAGAACTCCCTTGCAACCCAAGGGGACTGGACTATGATTCACATTAAATCCGAACCAGTATAAAAATTCTGGTGTCTTAATTTCCTGCATTTACTTTCAACATCTTATATTCTGTTATTACAACTGTTAGTTTATTGCATCTAGTCGACTAATTGAAAAATCAGTCAACTAACAGAGATTAAGTTTAAAAATATTCAATTCACCCCGCCTCTTGTACTTTCAATTGGTATCAGAGCAAGGCTCACATTTTTCTTTTGCTTAACAGCTTGTGAGAAAAGATCATGGCAAATCAAGTCATCATAGGAGCTCTCTTCCAGGAAGGAACTTCACAAGTTAGGCCACCATACTTCAATGGACAACATTTCTCTCACTGGAAAGTGCGTATGGAGATCTATGCCAAGGCTTATGATGTTAAAGTTTGGAGAGTCATCAAAAAGGGGAACTATCCCCTGCCAGCTGCTGCTCAACCACTTGCTGATCCTGAGAATATGGATTCATATACAAAAGAGCAAATGGAAGTGGTACAGGTTAACAATAAAGCGAGAAACCTGCTTTACAATGCCATAAGTGGTGAAGAATATGAGAAAATCTCAAGCTGTGACACAGCCAAAGAAATGTGGGACAAGCTTGAGGTTACATACGAAGGAACCAGCAAAGTAAAGGAAACTCATATCAACATGTTGGTTCATGATTACGAACTCTTTTCAATGAAAGAAGGAGAGTCTATTGAAGAGATGTTTGCCAGATTCAGCAAAATAATTAGCGATCTAAAAGCATTTGGCAAACCATATACGAGTGGTGATCAAGTCAGAAAAATTCTCAGAAGTCTACCAACCACGTGGCAAACCAAAATGGTCACACTTGAATCTCAGGATCTAAACAATTTATCCTATGATGAACTACGAGGAGAACTCATAGCCTTTGAAAAGACATATCTCAAGAAAACTAGTCAGAAGAAAAAAGGAAAACAGTCGCATTCAAGGCCTCAACTGAAATAGCTGAAAATGAAATCGATGATGATCTTGAAGCTCTCCAAGAAGAGATTGCTATGCTATCAAGAAACATGGATGGCTTAATGAGAAGATTCATGAATACGAGGAAAGGAAGAATTCCACCTAGGTGATCCAGGCAATACAACGAACAGGACAAGAATGATGGAAAATGCTATGAGTGTGGAAGATTTGGACACATTCAAGCTGAGTGCCCAGAGCTAAAACAAAAAATTTCTAGAGGCTTTAACAAGAACAAATCTTTTGGAAGTTGGAGCGATGAAGACAGTTCAGAACACGAAGAAATAGCAAATCTTTGCTTCATGACGATTCTGGAAAACGAGATGAACAAATCCTCAGGATGCTGGACGGATGAGGACACTTCAAATGACGAATGCAAAGATGACAATGGGAACTGTTTCATGGTACGAGGTGAAACAAGTGAGGTAAGATCTTATAACTGTGAAAGATGCAATGAATTGTAGGACATTCTTGATTTAACTTTGAAAGAGTCTCAAAAAATGATGAATGAGCTCAAGAGACTTAATAAAGAAGTTAAAGACTAGAAACTCAAACATGAAGTATGTGAAATTGAAAAAGAAGTACTTCAAGAAGAGTTTGAGGAATTGCAAATGCAACTCAATGGCATGCGCAAATCCACTAGTCACAGTTCTGTCAGGTCAAACCAGGCGACCTACAAGTCAACTGGAAAAGGACCAGCTAGAACAAAGTCCACTAGTACTAACACAAATGAAAGACCTAAAAGTGGGTCAGGAGTTACGTGTCACTATTGTAACAAAAGTGGACATAAATATTCTTTTTGTCGCTTTCGTAAAGCAAATGTTTTAGGATGGGTTTGGAAACCAAAAAACAATTCTGAATCTAGTAATACTAACCCTCCAGGACCCAAGCAAGCTTGGGTACCTAAAAGAAAGTAATCACTATGTTTTGCAGGAACACCACAGAATAAACCGCAAAGGAAAATGGTACTTAGACAGTGCGTGTTTCAGTCACATGACAGGTGATAAAAACCTGTTCAAAGAAGTTACAAAAATTGATGGAGGAAGCGTTAAGTTTGGAGATGACTCAAAGGGAAAGATAATTGGTACTGGAACAATTCCCTTCAATAACAACTATGACATCACTGAAGTTTATCTCATCGATGGACTCAACTACAATCTCCTGAGC